CAACTTCTATTCAACGAAAGGAGACTGCGACCACACAAAAGGCCACACCATCTTGGTCTTTATACCTGAGGAACCTTTAGTTTATCTCGAAGGTATGAAGACCAATTTAGTGTGGCCTTTTGTGTGTCGCAGTCTCCTTTCGTTGTATAGAGGTTGTATGACCTTGCTTTCACAACTTGCTCATATTGGTAGGAAGACTTAGAAGAATGCACCTAGTCCTGAGTCCATTTTTTATGCATGATCATTTCCAAAGTCGGACTGTGGACGTGGTAAATTTCCACATGCTTCACCGGCATCGTCAGTGAGGTTGAGTGAACAAATTATTTTGGAATATAAAGGTATGAAAATTTATTATTACTGGATCAAGTTTTCATTTATTAAAAATGCTTTATATACTTAAAGTTTAATGATTTATATCATTCTTCGGAGTGGCTTAAAATTTTGCATAGTCAATTTTTCGTCATTCCTGAGATTTATTTATTCAAATACACAATTTTTCGTTGTTTTCTTTTAGGATACTGCAATTTAAAATTTATTTATTTACTATTAGCTGGTACCTTTATGTGATTAAGTTGAACTTTTATTTTATAATATCACATACACACCATCTATGCTTTGGAGCCCTATATTTTCCTGATCAAGTCTTTAGAAACAGTCATTATAGAAGTTGCTCTTTCATTATGCATTTACGTCTTGTGTTCAGTATTTATGAGGAATTACCTTGTAATTTGCTTTATATTAACGAAAATACATTGATCTTCATCATACTTCGAGTAATTTCTATTCATCACTCTGACACCGTACTGCATGGTCACTTTTTTAACTTCATTTACTTTTGATTTCTTTTTTCTTTATAGGCAAATATTAAGGAGATCACAATGCCTCTTCCACCTCCCCTGCTTGCTCGACTATGCGATCGCACCAAACTGCCGCTGCTTCGTTCTATTAGAGAGCAATGTAGCGATGTTGATTTCCGATTTCCTCATGTTACTTCAGGCTCTAGTTTTTCCCCATCTACCTCTGGTGAAGGAGCACGTGGGGCTGTCTCTGGAGCCCCTCACAACCCAGCGCCTAGTCATGTAATCATAAGTGGGCCTCCTGATGCTCTGGAAAAGGCGGAACGTCTCCTAGCCGATATGAACGCTAAAGTACGGAAAACCTTTTCTACTGCCTCCCCTCCGTACTTTATATTCTCATACATTTAACATTAAACTTACGCATCTATTTGCTTCGAATTATCAGTCTTGTCTACGTGAGCTGTAGCTGGCTCTTATCTTTTTTATATTTATTTTGCAGTTATCCAAATTGAAATTGGTAACGCTATGTATACATCATCCTAAAAATTAGTCACAAAGGACTCATAAGAACAGAAATAGAATGCTCTCTTCGAGGTCTCTGGAAACTCATCTAACCTGGGAACGCAAGGTCAAAACTTCTCATTATATGGAGTTAACAAGATCCGGGTCATCTTGCTCATATTTGCTCACTTATGTTTACTTTCAGTTATTGATTGATCTTACACCTACACTTTGGTGGGATTTAAAGTAATTTTGCTTTTTATTAAAATAATATTGAAGTCAATGATGTGATGCTATAAATTATCAGGATTACTATGAGAGACGACGCAGGACTGGGTATATTCCGCAAGGTTTTCCTGCCGGCCTGACCAAGTTGCCAAAAAGGGTCTTATCAACTCACTACAGCTTAATGAGATTGTGATCAAACCTAAGGCCACATCCTCTTAGTTTTCATATATGCGATAATTCTATTTTCTACCCCTGATTTATATTTATATCAGTTAACCTATCTGTATGTTTTAGCCAAGAATCACGAAATATTATTTATAGAAGGACATATTCATTTGTTTTGCTTTATAGGATTATACAACGGGATTACCTTAGGCCAGTGGTTTTCAAACTTTTCCTAGTCGCGGCGCCCTTTTTCAATTAAAATATTTCCATGGCGCCCTACCCTAAGTATGACTTTTCGTAAGTAAGAGATAAAGATAAATAAAACTCGTGTATCTTCATTATTTTTTTTACTTTATTTACATTAAATTAATATTTAATGTGATGGATGAGCCTGCAAATCACTGCACATTTTCTAAAATTGAAGCATTTACAATATTTCGAGGCGCCTCTGTAAAGAGGCCGCGGCTCCCCGGAGCGCCGCGACGCAAAGCTTGGGAATCACTGCCTTAGGCTAAAACAACTCATTACATCATCCCATCATGGTGTCTGCCAATTTACTGGGTTCCAAACATAATATAAGCTTGTATTTACGGTCATGGGCATGTTTTGTTTGTGCAAAATTAGTTGTCTTAACCACATGTACGGAATAATTATATGGTTAATGCAGCTAATTTTTCACAAATATGTCCATGGCCATAAATACACGCTTTTATTACGTCTGGAGCCTATTTCATTGACAAGATGAGATAATATAATGTTATGATTTAGTCGAAGGTAATCATGTTTTATAAGCCTCTAATAACCAAATTGTATATGCTTTCTTGAAGCGAATTTCGTAAGCCCTTCCTTCTTTCGCGTTTCTTCTGAAGAAGTGTTGTTAGGTCGGTTTTCCGAACTTTGGCATCCCTTTAGATTATCATCCTAAGATGAGTATAACATTACATTAACAACTAGATTTCAGTTTAGAAATAATATGATCTGATTGTCTTAATATACTTTATTTGGTTGTATAATGTGGTACTTACCATGTTTTCGCAGCTTGTTCGGGGCAACATGGAGAAATTGTGGAACGTATTTAGTTCTGCATCCTCTGTCATAATTTTCATCATTTCCAACATCGAACCGTTGACTTGATACATGTTCGCTTCGCCGGCATCTTAAATAACAGGTGTCATCCTTAGCACAGAGTTGCAACTCATCAAACTGACAAATGACATCACTCATCGTCCCTATTTTTTGTCTTAGCAACTAGTGATGCATCTCTTTCTCTTAATCCCACTTAATATGACCCATTTACCTATTTACACCATTTTGTGCTTACGTTTGCTCCAATTTTGCTTGAGTGTGTCGCCTCAAGTGGATTTAGTGAAGCATAATCATCTTTACCATTATGTTCGAGGATTAAAGACCGATAGTTTTCATGTCTAGGCATTTTTCTCTCCATAGGCTTTAGACCCAGTTATCCTCTTTATTTTCCCTACTCCATTCCCATTATTTGCGGCCTTGTGTCTGGCTTGATTTTGAAACGCTGGTGTGAAAATGAATAACCACAAAAATAGGTTCAGAAAAGGCCGTTTGTGGAAATAATAAATTTTGTCCATCCTAGATTCTTAGGATATTTTTCGGTTGACGTAAACCTCTCTCCTTATTACAAGCATGTTTTATTATCAGTAAAAATGACCAAATTTGAATTAATTTAGCTGATTATTGTAAAGTATGATTACAATTTTGAATCTTAAATAAGCTGGTTCCAGTAACTTGTCCACTTTCCTTGACAATTTAATTCAGTGGATTTTTATTTCACTTTTAACCTTTTTATCACTATTTATGTGTATTATTATTATTGCTACATTTTTTTCTTTTCGAAATTGAATCAGGTGGCCGAGATGTGCGAAGAGTGTGTGTTGAATGCTGATCCTAAATATCATGGCTTCTTGATTGGCCGCCAGGGCACTAACATCGCTAAGTTTCGAGACTCCCATCGCGTTCACCTCATCTTTCCTGAGCGTGGTGAGACTGACCCAAAGTTGGCATCGGAGATCCGCATAATTGGTCAAAAAGCTGAAGTTACTAGAGCCAAGGCCGAAATGGAAGTCATGATCAAACAGTTGGTAAGACTTTTTAAAATGTTTACGCCCAGATTTATTTTATTTTTCTTGCTTTCTATTCGTATTCTTAATTAAGCTTTCGTTTGCTCAAATAATGTATTTGGATTTATAATATAATCAAGAAATTTAAATCTTAGATATAATTCTTTTAGTATTTCATAATTTATACCTATTGATGTGCTTTTATTGCCCCATCCCCTCGATTATATCATAAACTTATCTACTGACCTCTTCTTTCACATTTATAATCGTGACAATCTCCGCAGTTTACAGGGTTTCAGACTAGACAGGAATAGAGCAAATACTAAATTAGAAGGATAAATAATGTGACATGAATAATATATAAGTGCATTTATTTTTAGATCTATGTGAAATAACCACAATCTCTTAGTTCACAAAAATGTTCACAGTTTATTCAGCTCCAGATCACCCTCTAGTGCTTTGTTCATGTCCTATAACGTAGTAATCTTTCCTTTCCTTCTAATAAAAAATTTACTTTGTGGACTAGACTCGGTATGAATCACTGAATATTAAAGTATAGAGAAAGGACATGGGTTCTGTGATTGTCCTTTTGCTGTATTCGTTTGGAGTATGCATTCGGGACTCATCAGATCTTGACTAGGAGCTCAATCACTCGTTTAAGGTGATTAAAGCTCGGTGAAATTTAATGACATCGTTAGGCCTACTCTCACTGTGACAAAATTCAA